ATATCCATCATTTTGTCATGATAATAGAGGTATTTATCAATGACAAAGTTCATTTTTAAACTTAAGGTAAAAAAAGATTGTTATGGAGTTAAGATCATAATTCTGGAAATGTAGACTAAAATATTAAAAGTGGAGCAGTCTAATTCTGAAGTTCCCTGCATCTGCAGATATCATTCCCTAAGCCATAATTCTCCAACAGAGGCTCTGATGTTAGTGAAACCGACACTCTATCGTTTTTACTATGTAAACACATTTCTGTTTTAAGACGATGTGCTAAGTTTCCACTTTGCCAGTGCCTTAATGTGGTGATGGCCATTTAATTTGAGCTGGCAGCAGAGCTCAAGTACGGAATTTAGGGATTGGGTCAACTCCAGCCTGAGCAGACTTCTTTGGCTTATGGCTACAGAGAATTCTTGGAGCCTCCTTAGTTCTAAAGGAAGTCATTTTGTCAAATTAAGGAGGCTGTAGTCTCTCTGTGCTGCTTCTTTTTATCAAAAGTTTAATCTTTAAAGCATGTTCTTTTATTTTCTTAGCTTTGTGTTGGTAGGGCAGTGACCATTAATGTAAGCAAACTCAATAACTGGTAGATTCTAACTGCTTAGCATCTCCTTTCTCTCTTCTCAACCTCTAACCCATCCTTTGTGGAATGTTCCAAAAGAATTTTCCTTTCTTTCTTTCTTTCTTTCTTTCTTTCTTTCTTTCTTTCTTTCTTTCTTTCTTTCTTTCTTCCTTCCTTCCTTCCTTCCTTCCTTCCTTCCTTCCTTCCTTTCTTTCCTTCCTTCCTTCTTTCTTTCTTTCTTTTTTTTTTTGTACTAGGTATAGAGCCCAGAGAGGCCTAACCACAGAGCCACATTCCCAGCCCTTCCAAAAGAATTTTCTAAAATTTAAATCCCTGCCTGTCCATTCACTTAAAATCCCTCAATAACACTTCCTCGCCACCTACCACAGCTTTCAGAATAACATCTAAATCCCATAGCTTGGCATTCCAGATCCTTCCAGGACTAACCCATGCTAAACTTGCCTCCTTCCACTTGGCCACGCTCACAGCTGCTGCCAACAGCAACAAATACTTATAATGACTCAAAAGTGTCAGGCACTTCATGCCTTTGTGCCTGTGCTTCTCAGAGCCCCTTTACTCTTTTCTTAATTCTACTAACTCCTACCTTTGCAGCTCAGATGACCTCCCTCAGGACGCTCCTCCTGATGACCAGTCAGACGATGATGTCCCTCTGTGTCCTGACTCATTCATAGCACCGTCAGCATCGGTTTTCTTTCTGAAGCCCCCATCCCCTGCAATCTCCGTGAGAATTAATTTGGGGAATTAATTTTTTTTATTAGCTACACATGACATTACAATGATCTTGGCAATTCATACATTTGAATCATTGGGGCATAATTTCTCATTTTTCTGATTGTACCTATTGCAGAATCACACTGGTCATAGAGTCATCTATATACATAAATCCCTATTTATATACATAAATCCCAATTTCTAACACCATGCTTAGTACAAAAAAAGGGCACTCAAATAAATATCAACTTAATGAATTGAATGAATGCCTTTATCTTTGATCATTTGGTTATCATAACTTGTAGATGAGGCAGTGGAATTTGCTCCCTGAAAGTTACATTTTCTTAGAGTGTCCAAGTATTTCTCCTTATCTCTCCACCCCCATTCTCTCTCACCCTCTAAAGTAGCTTAGTGAGACATCTAGCTGAACAAGAATATAATCCTCTGATTCTGAGGTACAGCTTCTGTCGGGAAGACACAACTGTCTTCTGGTTGAAGGAACCTCCTCCAAGATCCTGTGCTTAGCAATTGTGACAAGCTACTAAGATCTTTTCCTCACTAAGGTTGCCTCCACTACAGTGCACCAGCCTGATGGCAGTTCTTCCCCTCCTTTCCTCTTTGCAAAGCTGACATCTAGAACTGTACAGATAGACATTTTTAGGGCTAGAGTGGTATAGATGGCAGAAGGCCACCAACTTCTACACAATTTTATTTAAAGACAGGCTCTCACTGAGTTGCTTAGCACCTCACAGCTACAGGGGGACTTCAGACTCTTGAGTCATTCATTGATCCTGGATTAAGATCTTGAGGTCCTCTCTAGACATGCCCCTCAATTTCTCCCTTGACCCTGAAATGCACCATTTGTCTTCTTCTGAACTCTTGGAATATGTCTAAGTCATAGCCTTTAGCCTCCATGTTTATTACCTTGTGTAATCTTACCTAACCCAGGAACTGGCACAGAATGTGTACTCAATCTGTATACAGTAGCACACAAAGGAATCCTCTGCAAACCATCTTCTGCTCTTGCCATTATAGAGAAACTGCCTTCATCGTGCTAATTAATGACCTTCCCAAGTCAGATTCAGTGCCAAGGCTGAACTCCACCTTACCTAACAAAGTGATTTCGCAGGATTGTCTCCAAACCTCTGAAAAAGATCATCCTCTGATTTCCATGGCATTGCACTCTCTGATCTGTCTTTTCTGAGGCCTCTTCTCAGACCCTTTGCTGACATCTCTTTCTTCTCCACTTTCTCTTATCCCTTTCCTCTGCTCTTTTCTTATACACCTGGTCTTGGAAACCTCTCCACACTCAAAACCCTCCAGTCTCTATTTCCATTCCTAAACTACAAAATTCCCATCTCATTCTCTCCTGAATTAATTTGTGAATACCTTATGTGTATGACAAAAACAAAACTCATTAAGCTAGGTGTGGTGGTGCATGCCTATAATCCCAGCAGCTCAGAAGGCTGAGACAGGAGGATGGCAGATTTGAAACCAACCTCAGCAATTTAGTGCTAAACAACTCAGGGAGAGCCTGTCTCAAAACAAAAAATAAAAAGGACTGGGGAGCTGGGCACGATGGCACACGCCTGTAATCCTAGCAGCTTGGGAGGCTGAGAAGAAGGATCACAAGTTCAAAGCCAGCCTCAGTAAAAGTGAGGTGCTAAGCAACTCAGTGAGACCCTGTCTCTAAATAAAATAAGGCAGGAGATGTGGCTCAGTGTTCAAGTGCCCCTGAGTTCAATCCCTGGTACATCCCCCCCCCCCAAAAAAAAAAGGAATATGGCACAGTTCAATCCCTGGCATACACACAAACACACACACACACACACAAACACACACACACACACACAAAAAAAACTCATTATTCCACCCAGCCAGTTCAACCTCCATGCTTTGCTATTTGGGCTTGCATCCAGTGTCTGCTTTCCACCAAGTGCTGAAGTGCCTCATTTTAAACATTACTCAGATTTGCCGCTTGTTTCCCCTACCTTCATCCCCTGCGTTGGCTATCACCACAGCCTGCAAAACAAGCAAAACACTTCAGCAATCACCATGAGTCAGACACTATCCTAAGTCCTTTACATACTTTATCCACTTTAATCTTGAGTAGATAAAGTTTATATCACTCTCACGTCTGCCTTATGGCAGGAGAAAATGAGGCTTATCCTCTCCAGAGATTAAGTGACTGAGCCACACCATATTGGTGTTACCAGTTTGACTCCTGAACATCTGGTGCCATAACCCACTGAGCCACATTGCCTCCTCCAGGGCTCTCTGGTTCCTCTTTCTTTTCTTCTTTAATGTATCCTGTGCATCACGGCCACCAGAAAAATACTCTTTTAACAGGGTATCATTTTATGAGTCTCTAACTCATAGAAGAAGGAGACCTACTGGCTTGGTATTGCAGTATGAGCTTGCACTGGCCGCCTGTCACCTTGCCCTCATTTAGATTTGTCAAATTGCTCAGAATCTCTTCTCCGGTCCTGTTGTTAACTCTGAGATCCAATGGTCATCTTGATTTCAGTATCACCTGTACTTTCAGAGGAGAATTATTCCCTTCCCCAACCCCATTTCTGGAGCCTTTGAGGTCCAGACCAGCCTCCTGTGTCTCAGGCCAGACTAGTGTTGCACTGAGATTAAGTTTCCAACACAAGAACTTTGGGGACCCATTTAAACCATAGCAGAATCAAAAGAGAATCTTCCCCCAAACAAATTCTCATTCTTAGAAGACAGAACCAGCTTGTGCAGCTCTCTAGGTGACATTAGCTACCTTGAAAGAAAGTTTTAGACAGTTGATCCCTATATGTCACCTCTTTATAATATATGTATGTTAGCCCTGTTTCCTGAACAAAACCATAAGTTACTAGAGGGCAGGCTCTTACTTGTCTCCCCTTTGGCATCTATAATCTATCAAGCAAATAGCAAGTACTCGTAAGGAAATCCTCCTTGATTAACTCACTGGTAATTTTCAAAGCAGAAACTCTATAATCAAATGTTGATTATTCTGGTGTGTTTATGTGAAACCAAAGAAACGATTTTAAGATGAGAAAATTATTTCCCTCATTTTGTTCACATAAAATAAGCAAAGATTTCCTTGAATTTTCAAAGCATAGTACTAGAATCTTCTGTGCTGGAGGCATCATTTAGAACACTAGAATTTAAGAGGCATACTGGAGAGGATTAAAAATCTCCAACAACATCAAACAGGACAGTGGTGGTCATGATTTCACACAGCAAATTTAGAAGAAATTGTCCCAGTTCCCGAAGTACTGTCCTGTGTTGCTATGTGAGCAGAACTGTTTGCTCTTCTTACCTCACTTGCTTATACTGTCATGAATTTAAATTATAATGTGTTCTGGTAAACACTTTGGCACTGACTGTATTGTAATGCTAGGCCTCTTATTTCCTGCCCCACATTGAATCGCATTCTCTACCACAAAGAGCTCAAAGCACATAGCTCAGGGTTCTATCTGACAAATACTATTGTGGCAGTATAGAACCACAATTGCTGCAAAAATAAATTTAACATGTGGAGCAAATTTGGGGGGGCATATTCATAAAGGTTCAACTACATCAGGTCTCAAATTTGGGCCAAAACTATAATGTGGGTTCAAGATCATTATATAAAAAGTGTATATATAATCCTGAAAAGTGTAACTTGAATAATTTATAGTCTTCTAAAACTAAGAATTTTTCTGTCCTACAGTGACCAAAAATGAAGAAGTGAAAATAATCATGGTGAAACACTACAGAATAGGTTTAGATGAAAAATATGAAGTAACAAAAAAGTGGTCTTTGAATGATCTGCAGATGATTGATGGAAAAGAAGCAGACACTGTAAGTATTATGTTTCATAAGGGAGATGTGAGATCAATATGCTGGTGATCTTTATGCTCAATATCCTACATCATATATTCTTGTCATGTACTAAGTGTTAAAATGACATATTGTTCTTAAGTGGTATGGATTAATTTCCTGTGATCTACTTTTTTGTTTTGCTTTTATGAGTTTGAATTTGAGTTTTGTCTATTAAATTTAAAAGCATCTTTCCCAAGGTCCACTTAACAGAGTAAACCAGTCAGTCAGGCCTAAAACTCTGAATGCCATTTTCCCAAACATATTACGTTTCCCACCATCACTTTCTCCAATTTCTTCTGCAGGTTTTAAGGATTCCTTCCCTCTGTCAGCAAGCCGCCTTCACCCTGCAGAAGGATCATAGTGCTTGGAAATCCTAGAATCTTAGAGTTGAAAGACAAGAAAGATTCTCCCCTCTTGTCCACTTAACTAGTCATTTTCCCAGTCTGTTTCTAGAGTCTTCTGGAGAGGGAGAGTTCATCCTGTCCCTGAACTTTATATGCCCACAATGCCTAACTAAGTACTGACTCCTGAAGTTTACAATGCCCAATCCCCCCCAGCTCTTACCCCATTTCCAGATTTCCCATTAGGTGAAGTCCTACTCATGACTCCCCACCTGGTGCACCCATTCATTGTGGATGTAAATATGTTGAGGCCATAACCCTACAAACTGCAGTTATTGTATTACTTTAACTCCCCTTTGAGTGGAAAGCCCCTTCTAAAGTTTGAGACCAGGTCATAGCCTTCTACCTGATAGATATCAGGCACTCAATAAAACTCATTTTTTTTCTCTTTCTTTCTTTCTTTCTTTTTTTTTTTTTTTTTTGGTATTGAAGTTTGAACCCAGGGCCTTGCACATTGTAAGTTGCAACCCTTCTGCCTCAGCCTCTTGAGTTGCTAGAAATACAGGTGTGCACCACCATGTGTGCAAAATTCATTTATTGTTGGTTTTTTCCTTTGGGGAGCAGGTACCAGGAATTGAACTCAGGGGCACTCAACCTCTGAGCCACATCCCCAGCCCTATTATATATATATATATATATATATATATATATATATATATATATATGTGTGTGTGTGTGTGTGTGTGTGTATGTGTGTATTTATATCATTTATATTATTTCTAAATGTATATATATTTAGAATCAGTGTCTCACTGAGTTGCTTAATGCTTTACTGTTGCTAAGGCTGGCTTTGAACTCAAGATCCTCCTGCCTCAGCCTCCCAAACCACTGGGATTATAGGCATGGCCCCTGTGCCCTGCTCATTTATTGTTAATCCTAATAAATATCATATTCTTAGTTTGGCCTGTTGTTCCAACCTACCAAACCTTTTAATATCTTGATTTTTAAATATCAGCCAGCTTCAGCAAAAGTGAGGCCCTAAGCAATGCAGTGAGACCCTGTCTCTAAATAAAATACAAAAAATGGTTGAGGATGTGGTTCAGTGGTTGAGTGCCCCTGAGTTCAATCCCTGGTACCGCTCACCAAAAAAAAAAAAAAAAAAAAAAAACTAATAGATTTCCTCAAGGTAACATAGCTATTAAGTGATAGAGCTAGACTTTACTCAGAAATCTGTTAATTTGCCTTCTTTAGATTGGTTGTTCAACCTCCACAAATTCATATATTTATTAATTTCTTTGTTCAGTCCTCTATCAGAATTTATAGCACAGAAGGTCCTGCTAAGCTCAGAGGATACAGTAACAGCCATAAACTCTGCTTAATGATCTAATCTGGATGTCTATCTATGCCTTCTGCTATTACCTTGACTAACACCTAGAAATCCTATTTTTCAAGCTTGCTGTGTTTGGCAGGACTCCTTGGTGAAAGCGCTGGATTTCATTGCTTTGTTTCCTAATTACACACACACACACACACACATATATATATATATATATATATATATATATATATATACTGAGGGTTGAACCCAGAGGTGCTTTACCACTGAGGCATATCCTCAGCACTTTTAATTTTTTATTTTGATACAGGGGCTCACTAAATTTCTTAAGGCCTCAATAAGTTGCTGAGACTGGCCTCGAACTTGCAATTCTCCTACTTTAGCCCTCGCAAATCACTGGGATTACAGACGTGTACTACTGTATCCAGTCAAGTAATATTTTTCTGACAATATATTTTACCTCGATGTTAGGCAATTAAACCTATTGCTGCATATCCATAGATGGAATAGCATGTAGCCATCACAAAACAGATTTCCAGAAGAATACCTCAGAACATAATTATTCACTATTTAATAAGTTTTTAAAAAAATCAACTGAAAACAAAGCTTTCCTAAAATAGTGTCAATTCTGCATATTTATTTTATCATATTATAGAAATCTAAATCTTAATTTTTTCTTTCTTTTTTTTTTAGTACTGGTGTTTGAAATCAGGGGCACTCAACTACTGAACCACATCTCCAGCCTCTTTTTTTTTTTTGTATTTTATTTACAGTCTCAGTGAGTTGCTTAGCGCCTTGCTTTTACTGAGGCTGACTTTGACCTGAGCCACTCGAATTACAGGTGTGCACCATGATGCCTGGCTTAAATCTTAAATTTTAATGCTGGAAAATACATGTAGTTACATGTATGTGTATATGTGCATGTATATAGGAAACAGCCCCATATAACAAGGTTAAAAATTTTACAGTTTTTATTTTCTTTTTTATACTTTTCTGTACTTGCCAGATTTCTATACTGTACCAAATTTTAACAGAAATCTAGGTCAGTTTCACCAATCCATAGTTCAGAAATTAACCACCCTCACCCAATTATTGGCCCATTTTTCTTTTTTTCTTTTCTTTGTTTCTCGTGTTCTCAAATGTTAGTGGTGTCATAATGTCTCCAAATTTGGCCAGTGCCTGGGATATTTTCATCAGTCCTGTCAAAAGAAAACTATAATATCCTAAGAAGAGTTTTTTAAAAAAACATTTATTTTCTACAATGATGTAAATATATATAAATATAAATGTATATATATATATATATATATATATATATATATATATATATCCTGAATGTTCTAGGAATATAGGAAAGTCATCTCTCTCTCTTTCTCTCTCTCTCTCTCCTCTCTCTCTCTCTCTCTCTCTCTCTCTCTCTCTCAATTGAAAGGAGTGTTTACTACATTTTTCTCAATGGCAATGATACAATTGTCAATAGAGTAATTTTAAGCCAGAAAATTATCAAGTGTAAAATGGAGTGGAATTGAAATTGAAGACAGTTTATAAAGCATAAATCAAATGATTTAGATTTGGAGACTGACTGATCCAACAGGAGACAAAATAATGAAGTCAAAGCTGGGCCTGGGCAGCTGGGGTGTTGGTTCTTGTCCTGACTCTGCCTCTTAACTCTAGGTGTGGCCTGTGCTTCACCTCTCTGGAAACTATCATCTCATCTATAAATAAGGAATTACTAAATAATCTATGAGATCCCCTCTTAGCTCTAGAATTCTATCAAAGAAAGAAAGGGGGGAGATGAAGAAAGGAAGGGACTTGTATTCTATGTGCATGCACGCTTGTCCTTTCAATTATTAAGCTAAAGCAAAGATTAATCCTCATTATCTCAAAGACATGAAGGCTATTTTCTACATGACAAGAAGCAAATGGAAGAGAAAACTATCTAAGGAACATGATTACTATCTGGTGGTGGGATGGGGATTTCCTTTTGACAGTCTCTGCAGAACTGTCTTTCAATGTATGACAGCTAGAAAAAAAATTCAAGGTATGGCTAAGGGAGCACTACCTTTGAAATCACAACACCCTTATTTCTTCCTTTTAAAGTGCTGTTTTAAAAAAATAATGGTACAAAGCAAAGCAGTATTAACACCAGTATCACAATCTTTGGGGACAGATGATTGGGGAATGATCATTTATTAAGCTCCATACTAGGCATTTTATATGATTAATTTCAAACTGTAGGGCAACCCTAACTAAAATGGAAAAGTAAGAGATCAGATAGTAGTTTGCTCATGGTTACATCAGAGAGTCAAAATGGTCCTCTAGTTTCAAAACCCATGTTCTTTTTCTGGCCTTCTGCAAGAGTTTTCCTGTTTGAAAATATGTTGTTATTTGTATATAATGCTTAAAAGCTACTTGCTAGTGAATTTACACTCTTGTGTGGTTTGGTCCCTCTCTGCCTCTTTGTCATTTAAGCAATGTTTACTTTCATTTTTCCTCTTACATAGAAGCACTTCAGATCAGTTCAACACACATTTGTTGAGAACAATAATTGCCATGGATGAGCATGAGGAACACAAAGAACGCAAAACCTTTGCCCTCAAGGAGAGTTGGGAATGAGGGAGAGTTGTGTAAATATTTTCTAAACAGAAATACACTTTGTACACTTTATAAATGCATGATATAGTTTTTTGTGTGTAGTGCTAGGACTTGAATCTAGGGCTCCACATATGCTGCAGAAGTACTTGACCACTGAGCTGTGTCACCAGCAAGGCACTGTTGTCACTACTACTAATAACAATAGCAATTATTATTATTCTCTCCCCCCTCCTCCCAATCTCTTTTTGAGACAGAGTCTTGCTAAATTGCTGAGGCTGTCTTTGAACTTGAGTTCCTCCTGCCTTAGTCTCCCAAGTTGCCTGGGATTCTAGGTGTGCACCACTACTCCAGGCTCAATTATCATTATTTCAATATGTAAGACCCAGATTAGGTTTAATGTCTACTCTTTTTTGAAGCATTTCTACTAGACATATTGCAAGAACCTAGAGCCATCCACTAAGAGGCATTCTAGCAGTTTGTCAAATGACTTAATGGTCCCTGCTATTATTGTCAAAGATTACTCCTTGCTGTTAACTGCAAAGTCATCAAATTGGCCATCTGTACTATGTCAAATGCTAATTAGCCATCCTGCATTTCCCCCACTTACCTTTTAAATATCACAGAGGACCAAACTCCTAGTAAAGACACCAGAGAAAAATGCTTTTCTCTACCTCCATCCCCAAAAGTCTGTAAGGGGGTTTATTCTATCCATCCCATCTTCTCAAATTTACTACACAGAGAATATGTGATAATTACACATTCTATGACATTCTTTTCATGTGTATAATTGACAAGACATAGATGTTTCAAAAATAATCTTTCTTGTTTATTTTTTAGAAGGAATTACATTTGAAGCAGGTAGTTTTGGAACGCTTATTTGTAGATTTTAGAAAATATATTTGATACTGTCACTTTCAATAGACATATCCAGGAGAATATGAGAGAATCCAGGAAACTACTTTCATGGCTATAAACTAAGTCATTCCTGTCTTTCTCTTCTAGGACAATCCATTTTTTGATCTGCACTTCAAGAAAGTGTACAGTTTGGAAGCATATAGTTGTGCTTCTAAATATTCCTTTGCTAGAACTGTAAATAAGCTGAATCATGCATACCTCAAGAAGGACTTGCAGATTGTGAACTTTGATTCTACTTACATTAATGATGATTCCATTTGGTCCTCCAACAACAAGGATTGCTTGGTTCTCATGAGAATATGCTTTTATGCTTTTAATTTGGTGTGCTTATCTCTGTGCCCCCTGCCACTTTGAAGATGTATTCCATATTCCTTCATCAGTGTCTTACAAAAATGGTTCCTCAAGTAAATGCTGATCGTCAAAATTTTATTTTTCCCTTCATCAGTGGCTATTATTTATATGAAAATAAAGGAATGCTTTGTGGATTTCAGTGAAATGTGTTTTAATGCCATCTCTCAACATTTGGGAGTTTGGGGCAATGTATTTCGTGGTAACTTTGGAAGGAAGTTGCATGGCTTTGACTAAATTAGTATTCTGCTAAAGAAAATTGAGAAGTACTTTTAAAAGACCTGGATCTGAGGAAAGACATTTATGTCTATGGATAAGAAGACAAGATTTTCAAGATGCAATACTATCCAAAGCAATTTGCAGACTTAATGCTATTCCTAACAAAATTCCAACACCCTTTATTACAGAAATGGAAGGTCAATCTTCAAAATTCACATGGAATTGCAAGGGATTCCAAATAGCAAAAGAATCTTGAAAAAGAAGGACAAAGTTGGAGGACTCACACTTTTGATTTCAAAACTCAATACAAAGCTATTGTAATCAAAATAGTGTGGTGCTTGCATAATGATAGACACAGAGTCCACTAGAATAAAACCAATTCAAAAAGAAATCCATATGTCTATGGTCAACTAATTTTTTACATGGGTGCCAAGTCCATTTAAAGGGAAAAGAATAATCTCTTTAACAGATCATGCTGGGAAAACTGGATATACACAGACAAAAGAATGAAGTAGGACATCTACCTTATACAATATACAAAAGATAACTCAAAATGGACAAATGACCTAAACATAAAAACTGAAAATATAAAACTCTTAGAAGAAAACACAGGGGTAAATCTTAAGGACTTTGGTTTGGCAGTGAATTCTTATAATATCAAAAGAATGAGAAACAAAAGAAAAATAGATACGTTGGTCTTCATCAAAAATAAAATCCTTTTACACTGAATGACTTTATCCAAAAAGCAAAAAACAACCTACAGAATGAGAGATTATGTTTTCATATCATCTTTCAGAAAAGGTTTAATGTCTAGAATACATAAAGAACTCCTACAACTCAGTAACCAAAAAAAAAAAAAATCAACCCAATTTTAAAATGGGCAAAGGACTTAAACAGAGCTTTCTGCGAAGAAGATATATAAATGGCCAATATGCACAAAAAGGTGCTCATTAGTCAATAGGGAAGTGCAAATCAAAGCCATAAATGTCAAGAGAAATATCACTTCATACCTATGAGGATGGCTGTTTTTAATTTAAAAAAACAAAAATGGAAAATAACAAGCATTAGCAAGGACATGGATGAATTGAAACCCTCTTCTATTGCTGCTGAAAATGTAAAATGATGCAGCCACTAAAAAAAAAAAAAAAAAAAAAAGAATTTGGCAGTGTTCTAGAACAGCCCAGCACGGTATATGAAACTGGCCCCTTGGTGTCATGAGACCAAATAAAAGAGGCAGAAAGATCCAGGATTTCACAGATTGCAATTTACTAAGGACACACTGACAGTCCTGGGTGGCAGAGAAACCAGTTGGATTCCCACAGTTTGGGTCAGAAGGAGGGGTGTAAATAATGGTCAGAACAAAGTGGACTCATCCAAGCTGGAATGTGCATGGTTTATCTTAAGATAAATCTTATCAAAGATTTCAGCTACATTCCTGATGTTGACAGAGCCAGGATCCAGTCAGGGTCCAATCGTAGCATTGTACATACCACTCTAATGGTCTCATTTACTTATACTATACAGGGAAAACCTACCAGGGTTACTCATGAGTTGTCATGGCGGTTATGACTCAAGATGGCTGCGGTGGGGTCAAGCTGAATCCATGCAAATGGTTCCCTAAAAAAATAAACAGAGGGCTGGGGATATAGCTCAGCTGGTAGATTGCTTGCCTTATGCCTAAGGTCCTTGGTTCAATCCCTGGCACCACAAAAATAAACTAAACAGAGTTACCAAATGTCCAAAAGCAATTCATTCTGAGGTATTCAAAGAAATTCAAAAGGAAATCAAAGCAGAAATATATAATAGATATTTGTACAGTAATATTCATAGTAGGCTGGCTTTCTGAATTATTTGCAGCATTATTCACAATAGCAAAAGATTAAAATAGCATGTGTCCATTAGTAGATGAGTGAATAAACAAAATGTAGAATAACTATACAATGGAATATCATTAAACTTCAAAAAGGAAAGAAGTTTTGATGCATGCTAAAACATGGATAAATTCTGAAAACATTATATATGCTAAGTTAAATAAAAAACAAAAATTGTATAATTCCATTTACAGGAAATTTCTGGAATAGGCCAATTCAGAGACAGAATAGGTCAGAAGTTACCAGAGACTTGGAGGAGAAAGGAAGGAGGAGTTCCTTAATGGTTATAGAGTTTCTGTTTGGGTTGATGAAAAAGTTTTAGAAATAGTGATGCTAAACAACATATGATGAAGGAATGTATTAATGCCACCAAATTGTACAATTTAAAATGGTTAAAAATGCAAATTTAAAAATTACAACTTTTTAAAAGTAATGTAATAAGCCAAAAACCTTGGAGGTTTAAATGGGTAAATTGTATGGAATGTGACTTATATCTCAATAAAGCTGTTAAAAAGGAAGAAAAGACTACCTTAAGTTTATAGGAAGAAAGTATGCATGAATTTTTTATAAACTGAAAACAGGGAAAACTTTCTTAGTGATCACTCAAAATCCAGAAATGAAGGAAAAAATACGATTAACTTAACTAAAAATTTAAGAAACTTACATAAAATATGTATGGAAAAAACTATAGCTTGAGCCAAATAACAAATTGAAAACTAGAAAAAAATCGCAACTTATACAAAAATATGCTAATATCCCTCATATGTAGTGAGTTTCTAAATTTGAGGGGTAAAAAAAGACCAACGTTCCAATTGGCAAAACATGTGAACAGACTGTTCACAGAAAAAGATTTGCAAATGACACTTAAACATATGAAGAGATGCTCAACCTTGCCCACGATGAAAAAAATTCAGATGAAATCTATGGAGCAATATCATTTCTCATCTAACAGATTGGAAAATTTTTTAATTTTTTGACAATATTCCATTGGATATAGAAATAGTCCTCGTTCATTACTATCAGGAATGGAAAATTATACAAAATCCCTAGGAGAGGAATTTGACAATATTTTGCAAAATTACATATACATTTACTCTTTGACCCAGACGTGCAAGGCTATTTCTAGAACTCTATCCCAAAGATACTTTGGCAAAACTATAAAATGACACATGCAAAGGCATGTGACTTTGTTAACAAAAGCAAAATATTTAAGGTGAGAGAGATAGCTCAGGAAGAGTGCTTGCCTACCATGTGCAGGTCCTGGGTTTGATCCCCATCACAGGAGAAGGAGACCAAAAATTAGGGAAGCTGCCAATTATTAATCAAGTCCTGGTCATTTTTGGTTGCCTGAACTATTTCATGGACTGGTTACTGCATGTAGTAGATTGGTTTCCTGGGCTGAATGCTGTAAGTTGTGGGTTGGAGTTCTACTTTTACATTTATTCTAGCCCTTGTTTGTTTATATATTCAGATATATTTTGATTGTCCTGGTGATGGTTACATGAGTACATATGTGTAAAGAAAAACAAAGAGACAGAAGCAAGCAAGGTGTGGGGGCAAAGTAAAAGGGGCTGCTTGTCCAAACTGCCAGCTTTGTTTATAACCATAGGTTACACTGGGTCATTGATCGCTTATTGTATAAAGTTACAGTTATGTGGGCAAGTGTAGGACCAGTGACACATTGGTGTTGTCTAAGAGAGTTCCTTTATTCCCAGAAGCTGAGTGTCTGAGATTAAGGTTGAGGCTGATAAGACTCTAGCACACTGCCTCCCAATGAAGGTCATTACCATAGCAGCTAGGCAAAGAGCATGCATTAGTCATCTTACTATTTCCAGGGAGAAACTGTAGAATATTCCAAGTGTGGATAACTGGACGCCTGTTATCCTCCTGGAGTTTGGTCACCAGAGGAATGCTGCCTTGTACATTTCCACAGTGAGAATCCTTACACATATTATGCTTGTCAAAATCAACGAAATGAAAACACTATTTATAAGTATAATTGTTAGTAGTTATATTGGAGTATTATTTTGACACTAAAATAAGAGCAAAGTAGATAAAGTAGCTTCTACCAGACTATGATGGGGCAATTTGAGCATAAGAAAATGATTGTAATAGAATGAAATATTCAGATATGTAAGTCCATGACACTCAAATAACTAAGAAATAAGTCTCAATTTTCACCACTGTAACATTTGAAAGTGATAAAAAATGCATTATGCATTTCCTATAGGAGCTCTATTCCAGATGACAGAAGATAAGGGAAATTTTTAAAGAATAATTCCAAATAATAAATGCAATAAGAGTGATAGAACTAGAAAATTACCATTTGCAATCTCTAATGAAATAATGGATTTAGGCAACAATTACCAATGAATGCTAAAATCATGAGGAGAAAGGTTATGGAAGAATCAGATACTTAAACCCAAAGAGCAATCTTTTTGTTTGTTTGTTTGTTTGTTTGTTTTCAGTGCTGGGAATTGAACCCAGGGATAGAGTAAATAGAGAAGGCAGGATACATACATAGGAGTCTACCCCTGAGTCATACCCCCACCCCATAATGAGCAATCTTAATGCTAATAAAAGTGAATCAGCAATCCTTAAGTATTTATAATATGATGTAGTGATATAGTAAGAAGTATACAGCACTAACAATAAAGAATTCTTACCTAAAAATGAACCTGAATCTAATTATTCCCCTCGATCTAGCTACTGAATTTGAAGGAATAAGTCAAATATAGAATGTGTAAAATTCTACAGGACTATCTACAGTTTCTGTAAAAACCAATAACATGGGGGAAAAGAAGAAGGAGCACTGTTTAATATAAAAGAGACTTAGGAAATATAGCAAGCAAATACACTATATAGGCTTTATTTGAACCCTGATATGAAATAACAAGCATGAAAAGCCAGTTTTAAAACAACCAATTAAATCGTTGATTTAATC